ATTCAATCAGCCTGATAAAAAATATGAAAGAATGAGAGAAAGGGAGGGAAGAAGAGAAGGAAGAGAGAGACAGACAGACAGACAGAGAGAGAGAGGGACAGAGACAGAGACATAGAGAGAGACAGAGAGACACAGAGAGAGACAGAGAGACAGAGAGGCTGACTGTGTCAGTTGGGTGTGATGATATGAGTTTGTAATCCCAGCTACAACTACAGGAGCCTGAGGCAGGAGTTCAAGGCCATCCTGAGCAACACAGTAAGGTCTTGTCTTAAGCCAAAAAAGAAGAAAGAGGAGGAGGAACACTGTCTGCATCAAATCCGTATGAACTTTATTCCCTTGTCATTATTTCTTAAGTGATGCAGTATATCACTTATACTATGTATTGTGATATGTATACTACGTATAGTAATATGTACAGAGATGATTAAAGCATATGGGAGAATATGCATGTGTTGCACCCAGTGGGTCTGGGGTCAGCATCCCACCCTTGAACTTTCCCAGGCTTGTCTCTCTCTCTGACATAGAAAGAGAAGGAGGAATAAGTCACATGACAGGAGTGCACAGTAGAATAAAAATGCTCACCTCATGGCTGAAATCTGAAGGACAGGACATGAAAGGGGCCAGGGGCCCACTGTTGCCTTTGAGGGCATACCTCCCATAACCTGAAGACCATCCACTAGGCCCGACATCAAAGAGTTCTACCATCTCACAACAGTACCAAGTTGGGGACCAAGTCTTTAATGCACTGGCCTTTGGGGGACATTTAAGACCCAAACTACAGCAAGGATGAACACAAGGGAGCCCAGGCTCTCATGATCTGTGTGACTTAGCTCTGCATTGGGTCCTGCTCCCATTCCTCTGTGGCAGTGTTCCCTGCTCTACTTCCCACCACCATAAACTGAGCAGTTTTGCTGTGCCACACCCTCCTGCTGTGATGTTTCTGCACTGAAACCAGCTGACCGTGGATGGAATCCCCTGAAACTGAGCCAAATTAAACTTCTCTTTTAACTTGCAGGTGTTGGGTACTTCGTCCCAGCCATGGGAAAGCAGACTTATACAAAAAACTGGTACTAGAAAAATGGAGTCTTTGCTGTGACTATACCTGACTATGTAATTCAAAACCCTTTAGAACTGGTTTGCGGAAAAAGTTTGGAAAGGTTTGGAAATGTAGGCTAGAAATGCCCTAGCATGCTGTAAGCAGAGCTTAATGGACAGTTCTGCTCAAAGCTTAGAAAACTGGAATACCGATAGGAATGAAGGCTCTAAAGACCAGACTCTTGAGATTTTAGTTTGGAAAAAGGACGTTACTGGAAGTGGACTAGAAACCACCTATATTACACTCTGGCAGAAAAAAATTTGTCCACATTTGGTCCATATCCTGAGACTTTTCAGAAGGCTGAAATTAAGGGTGGTTAACTAATGAATCTGGTGGAGGAAATTTCAAGGCAGCCCAATATTCAGGCTGTAGTGTGGTTACTGCTGGCTGCTTTCAGTCAGATTCATAGTGAGAATTAGGAGAAAAAAAAGGGCAGAAGATTTTGAAAAAATTAAATTTTGACCTCAAACAAAACACATACAAAGTTGCGCCAAGGGAAGTGTAGTTGATGAGAAGATTAGGGCCATGAAAAGGAAACCAAATACTTTGTACAGGTAGAAGAATAAAGATGGCTGGAAGTACACCTCTGGGTGTGTCAGGGTGAGTGATAGAGATGCGACCCCTGGGTCTGTATCTGGCTCCTCTCCCCTTCCTCGCTGGTGCTGTTCTCATGCTCTATTTTCTGACCAACACAAACTAAGCAGCTCTATTCCACCATGCCCTTCTGCCATGATGGTCTGACCTTGGAGCCTGCTGACCATGAAATGAATCCCCTGAAATCGTGACCCAAGTTAAATTTCTCCTCCTTTAAACTGCAAGTTTTGGATTGTGCCCAGACATGGAAAAACTGACCAATAGTAAGGGTACCATGGAAGAATAGGAAGCTGGCCTGGAAGTGACATACCTCATTTCTGTAGAAAAGAGACTGAAAAAAGCCATCAACCCAAAGAGAAGAGGTTATGGGCTTCAAGGTCAGTTAATCCACCTCTGCATCATGCTTGTGCCATATTATTTATTAAGTATTTTGGATTCCATCCCTGGTCAGAGGACATGGGCTTGACTCTGCTTCTTAAGAGTTGAGAGAATTTGAACAAGATTTTTAATCTCTTTGAACCTCCATTGTTCCACCTGAAAAGAGGGATGAAAATTGTAATAAATAATACCTTCAGGATAATTTGGAATTATACAAAAGATTGTGTTTGTAACAGATCTTCTTTTTTTTCTTTTTTTTTTCCGGTACCAGGAATCGAACACACGATCTTGCACTTGCCAGGCAGGCGCTATGCTGCTGAGCTAAATCCCCAGCCCCCTGTAACAGATCTTCTAAGCTACTAATTCCTTCTTCATGCACTCTACCTGGAATAAACTTCTTCTCCCCTTTCTTTTATCTAATTTTTATCCATCTTTCAAATCCCAGATCTAATTTCCTGTTGAGAGCAAGAGTCTCCTATTCCAGCAAATGTGGCCCTTTCGGGTTCTGACACACTGGAAAGCAGACAAAAACAGGTTGCTTTGAATGAGCTTGGGGATTTTTATTACCCCAGTGGAACATATGGGCAATTCCAGCTACTCCAACACTTACTCCTAATGCAGAAACATCTGTTTCCTCTCCTGGTGAGCTTTTGAGAATTTGTGCCACTCCTTCCAAGAGTGCTGAGGATTCAGGATCTTCTTCTTGGCCAATGGGCGTCCAGATTCAGCAACTAAAAAAGTGAAAAACAGCTTCAGAGACATGAGAAAGCATTAGAGACCTATAACATTGCTTTATTCTCAAAGATGATAGCTTCATATCCTCTAAAATGTAACTGGAGAGCCCAGAGCACCCTTCTACTTCTCATTAAAGTGCCCTTTCCCTTTTATTTTTCATTATTTTTTTTGAGATAGGGTCTCACTATGCAGTTCATGCTGGCCTTGAACTCACTTTGTAGCCCAGGATGGCCTTGAACTCATGGCAATCCTCCTGCCTCAGCCTCCAAAGTGCTGGGATAACAGGTGTGTGCCACCATGTCTAGCTCCCTCCTTTTTTTTTTTTTTTTTTGGCATGGAGTCCACCTTAGTCTAGGCAAGTGCTTTGCTACTGAGCTGCCATATAGCCCTGCTAAAATCCCCTTAAGAATCACCTCTTTCATATACCATTTTTAGTTTTTCAAATTATATCATGCTTTATATAGTTCTTGGTTAAACCCCAAATCCCTCTTTTATTAGTTTTGCCTCTCACATAGATGATGTTACTTGAAATCAATCCTTTGATTCCATTCTAGAATATGGCAGATTATCAGTAAAATTTAATTCATCAAGGACATTCACTGGGGAGTATCATTTCCTAAAATGGGACAGTCATGTACCTAATCCTAAGCATCCAACACAGCTGTTAGAATATTGAGATCCTTGAAGCCCGATGTCCTCAGCATTCACCTAGGTAGACTTAGCACTAATCCAACTACAGGCACCACTCAGAACTAAACTGCAAAAGAGTAGATCACAGCAGGGTTTCATTCATTCATTTAACGAATAGTAACTGGATTCTAATACTGTTCTCAGCAACAGCAAGGAATTTAATGAGAAAAGGGATAAATAATATAAAGATTGTCACTGAGGAGCTAAATCCTGTTGCAGCAAGAAACTGACCCCTCACTACCTTGGTCCTTGGTTCTTTGTGCTCTTGATAAAAGAATTCACTGAAGACACAGGTTTAAAAAAAAGACAGATAGCCATGCAGAAGTATAGGTGGATATGAAGAGAGTTGTATCTTCAAGTGAGAAGCCAGGTGGTGCCATGTGGGCATCTGCACCAAATGTGAGTTTAGATACTTTTTTATGCATACAAGTGTTACTCCTGGGGTCCAGGGAACTATGGTGATTATGATGCTTATTAAAATTTTAATTAGAAATTACTTTCAAATTGCAAAATATCTCCCTATCCTTTATAGATGGTCAGTGTTTCCTCAGGGGCTTTAATCATATAAGAAACATGAAATAAATTTATGAAAGAGAAGTTCTTAATTTAAACCAGGACCCAGCCCAAGGCAGGAGCATCTTTAAAGAACATTTCATGGGGCTGATATCACTGGGCTAGAGGTTATGGTCACCAGGAATGCTGTATACCTTGTTTTGTAACTAGATGGTCAGGGGGCTGGGGATCAAAAGGAATAAGCAGAACGTATAACCTTAACACATCACTGTGCTCTGTGGGATTTCTTCAGGCCTGAGATCTAACAAATTATTAGAAATGTATCATATATTACATTGAAGTCTTCATCGCTTAGCTGTCAGTGTGTGCTATTTTGGACCCACCCCTGTGTCCCTTGGTCCTGCTAATGTCTAAGTACCTGCCTAACAAAGATCACTTGCCAGTTTAGAACAGCGAGACCAAGTCACAGCAGGCTGATAAAGCTGGATGAAGAATTAGTCAAAAAAATTTAGACTCAAGGGCAAGGGTTGGTAACTTTAGGGACAGGCATGTAGGAACATGACTCAAAGGGAGACCCAGATTTGGGAACAGATTTCAGCAGCTGTCTTCACTTATCAAGCTGGCAGATATTTAAAGATTGACAACAGCAGGTGTTGCAAGTCTGTGCAAAGCAGACTTTCACATAGTACTGGGATGACGTACATCTGTGTCAACCTTTTGCACAGAGCAATCTCACGAGATGAGCCAATATTTAAAATGTACCTTCATAGGATGCAGCAATTCCAAACCAGGTATTTGTTCTGTGGGAATGATTAGACAAACGAAAACTGTTGTACTAGCTAGCATATCGTATTCATTTATCATTGCTTGGAGGGGAAAACTGTAATAATTGGGTGACATGCTCAGCCCTGAACCAATCACAATGACCAGAGGGATCGGGCCCTTTAATTGGCCAGGCTTCAGTCACAATCTCTCCTTTGTTACCAGGAGATGAAGGAGGACCTTGATTGACAGTGGAGCCACATGAATCAGAACTAGAGAAGGGGCAATTCTCTCAAGAACTAAAAAAGGGAAGAACACTGCTTCCCTTCCCTCAGAAGAATGAGAATGGGAGAACTTGTCAGGTGAGCAAAACCCATCGCTAGCCCTGACCAGGCAGCAGGAGTAGCTGATACAATGGAAGGAATGTTTCAGGCAGAAGGAATAAACTATCTTTTACAGAGCTACCCTTTACAGAGCTACTCTTTACAGAGCTGCAGAGAGGCCTGTGCCAAAACCCCACGTCCTGAGAGGATGAGGTCACCCCTGAGGAAGGACACTCACTTTTGTAAATCTGGCCATATGAGTAATGAAACAGTTTGAAATCCAGGCTTAAGGCTATGAAGTTGAACTCCATGGTTGAAACAACGGAGAATGCTCTGGGTGGGTCCAGGAAAGCTGCCTGAAGCTAGCTGGGCTCCTGTGAAGTCCACACATGGGACACTGTCTAGCTCTGAAGGTACTGCCTGTTGCCTGGTGACCTTGGACACATGACCTAATCCCTTTAGACCTCAGTTTCTTAATCTCTAAAACTGTGACAAGAAATCAGTCATCTGGGGGCGCTCCGAGGATGTTGCGAGGCTGTCCAGGTGAACTGTACAGGTGAAGGACAGGCCAGGATCGCAATCACAGTTCACACAGAAGAAACAAAAGACGGAAATGGCAGAGATTAGTTATGTGGCCCAGGAAGTCGGAAAGCTGGAGCTTTCTGAGGCCCTGGGGACCCAGGAATTCCAGTAGGGGTTGCTAACTAGGGTTACAATTGACTTGAAGCTTAGTCACAAAACCAGAACTTCCCGCTCCTCCCAAGTTCTTAACTGCCCTTGAATAGAGCAACTTTAAATTTTATGTTTTTATTCTTTATGACGCACTTTCAAAGGCTGATGAAATATTTCAGAGCAGGAGCTCTTAAGCTCTTCAAGGAAAGACTAGGGCATGCTACCACCACCATCACATTACTCAACTTTGCCCTGTGCCCGTAATACCACAGGCTTTGTGCTTGCCTTAAGTGCCCTTCCTAACTCCAAGGGTGGATAGGAACAGTGGTGGCCTTGAACGTTCTCACTTCAAAAACCAAACCTAGTGAATGTCCTCACTTCAAAACCAACATGGTGACCGGCACGTGTTGAGACGTCCAGGAAGGAAGGAGTGAAGAACCCTTGAGAAGGCTTTGGTGCCAAGAGAGAACAAGCTGGCCTGCCCGCCATGTGAACTCCACCTGGTCCAGTCTGGGAGAAAGCAGTGGTGGCAGAGCCTCCTAAGCAGCCATGCCCCCAACAGGTGTCTGTCCTTCTTCCCCTTCTGTCTCTGACGGTGCTGAAAGGGTGTCTCAGCCTCCGTCTGGGTCCCAGGGGAGGAAGTGGATAGTTTCCCTGGTTAGATTACGAGGCACATCATGGAGGCCAAGAATCAGCAGACATTTCACAGAGCTCTACCCGGAGTTTTTCTGTCACAGACCCAAAGTGGCAGCGCTGCTGCTGTAGACACCTGGAGGTCCTTGTCTGGAGCGAGGGGACACCTAACAGAAATCCCAGAGGTGCATGTGAAATGAGGTGGGGGGCAGCTCAGAACTGGGGATCCACAGGCTGTGGAGAGAAATAGAGAAAAAGGAAACAGGAAGCAACTAGAAGAAGGACTTCCTTCCCCTCTGCTGGCTTCTTATCACATGTCCAGGGGCTCCACCTGCCCTGGCATCAGAGCCTGGTTACACCAATAGCTACTCCCTCAGCCCCATCCCCATGGGCTCCTCCTAGAGGCAAGATAGGGGCTCTACCGAAAAGATGGTACTAGTTTGAGGATCCCTTATCCAAAAAGCTTGGGACTTAAAGTGTTTTGGATTTTGGATATTTTGGAGTTTTGAATATTTGTATACCAACAGTGAGATGTCTTGGGGATGGGACCCAAGTCTGGATATGAAGTTCAGTATGTTTCCTTTTTCTTTTTTCTTCCTCCCTCCCTTCTCTCCTTCCTTTCCTTCCTTCCTTCTTCCCTTCCTTTCCCTTCCCTTCCCTTCCCTTCTTTTCTCTTTGCTTTTTAGTACTGGTGATTGAACACAGGGCCTTCACACACACTATTCATAGCTTTCCCTATTTTGGGGTGGGTGGGACAGAGTCTTGCTAAGTTCCCCAGGCTGGGCTTGAACCTGTGTTCTTCCTATCTCAAGAGCGCTGAGATAACAGGCTGGTTCCACCAACCCTGGCTTCGTTATGTTTCATATACATGTTAGACACCATAGCTTGAAGGTAATTTTGTACAATATTTTGAATGTGCCTATGTTTTTTTTTTTTTAAACATGTTTTGTTTTGTTTTGTTTTGTTTTTTTCTCTGGTACCGGGAACCGAACTCATGACTCTGTGCTTGCCAGGCAGGCGCTTTTGCCGCTGAGCTATATCCCCAGCCCCGAATGTGCCTATGTTTTTATGGTGACCTCTTGTCACACAAGGTCAGGTGTGGAATTTCCTACTTACAGCCTCAGGTCAGCACTCAAAAATTTTCAGATTTTGGAATATTTCAGATTTTTTGGGTTATGGATGTTCAACATTTACTGTTCTGTGGCAAGCCCAACTGTTCCAGATGGCATTCCTGAGACAACTCCTACTTGCTGGACTTTGCGATTGGTGCTTTGAGGGAAAGAAATCCCTGACACCTGAAAGAAAAGATCTACTCCCACAGGCTGCTCAGAACAGTTGCATTTGCACAGCCTGCCCTTTAGAGGAATGTCCCCAAGTACCATAGGTGCTACTATGGTTCACCTTCAGCTCAGCCCTGGTCACTGATGCCGGCGTTCAGAGGGATAACCTGAGTGATAAGCATTTGGGGTTACAGGGATGTTGAAAGGACCTCAGCATTGTGGAGGGGCACTGCGGAGGTCAGGTCAGGTTGCTCAACCAGAGAGATAAACAGCAGATCAGGCCGGGCCCCAGCGAGAGGAAGGCTGCACCAGGAGCCTGCAAGGCCAGGCCAGGTCTGGCCTCGGAGCCCGGATGTTCCAAGGCCGGGGTCAGGCAGAGGGTACAGATGATAAGGAAAGGGGCCAGCTGCTCACTTGAGGGCCCTAGGGATGAATCTGCTTCTTTTCCTTCTCTTTTTCTTTCTTTCTTCCCACTCTTCTCCTTCCTTCCTTCCACTGAGTTAACAGTTTTTACCGCACTATTCCCAAGGAGCAGGATTTCCAGGGACCTTGGCTATCCCAATGCGCACCTGACTACTATTGTCCTTCAGCGTTACTTGGTTGTCACAAAAACATTTCTGCCTGAAGGACAGGAGCAGCTGCGCATTCCAGCATGAGACCCATCTAGCTAGTGTCTACTCTGGCGTCACAGGCCCGGGGTGCACATCCCCTTGCTGTGACAGGAACTCTCTCAGCAGCAGCGCAGTGGCCACATACCCGGGGGACTGACTCCTTAGAAGAGGCAGGTGGTACATCCAGTCCAAACGCAGGGCCAAGAGATGTGGTCTTCCCCTTGTGTGCAGACCTCGCTTCGCCTGCAGGCTATCTCTGGAGGCATTACACCTCCTGGGGTAAACCAAGGCGGGCAGACCTGGTGAACACGGATTGCCTGGGAGCTTGTGCCTAGCTGCGTGGGCTGGCAGCGTCTCGCCTCTCACCCTATCTGAATGCTCCTGGGATTCTGGTGCCCAGGCACAATGAGATCTGAATGCAGTCTTTCTGGACAGCAGTCTCACTAATCCCACCTCAAGCCTTCCCACCATCCCAGCCAGAACTGGTTAAAACACCTATCCGAGCCCTCCCGGCAGAGGAAAATCACGTCTGATGTCACCATTAACTCTCTAACTTGAGCACCCATTTCCTGCTTCAATAAATCTCTCAAAGTGAGTCCACTCTCACCCTGCCGGTCACATACCCACGTCCCACAACCTGTTCCCCAGAACCCTATGTTTGCCAATGCTATGCCTCTCCTGGAAATCATTATTCATCCTCCTTATCTGGCGTAGATGTCACTGCCCTGCGTACTTTGGCTCTCCCAGGCAGCGCGCTGTTTGTGCTCCAGCCTGCGTGACAGCCCTCACCACCTGCACTGGGGTCATGGAACCTGGGCACACACATTAGACGCAGGCTGCAGGCAGGGGTCCAGTTAGCACATGGAGTTCAAAGGATGCCCTGCAGCCGAGCACAAGGCCACGGGGATAGTGATTATTATTAGGAGCCACATGCCACAAGGGCATGATCAGGTCAAGGACTTTGACAAGGAATACCTACTAGTTAACAAAATGTGTAAAAATTAGATGGAACACAGTTTACGAGGATGTGGGGAAACTGTATTCCCAGAGAACGGCAAGCTTGGCAAACAGTGGTCTGTGACTGGCCCCACACCCTGAAATTACAGGGGAAGTGGCTCTTCAAGTAGCCCTCCCACGCGGTGTCTGTGTAATTCACAGGAAGGGGTGAAGGGCAACTGGGCTCGCTGACCGAGGGACGGGGGGCCATGCCCAGGGCTGTCCCTGCTCCTGCCCCTGGAGCTTGAAGCACCCCACGCCCACTGTCCAGTGTTTCCCTTCTCCTGTTGCCAGTGGGAGATTTCATTGCAGTCTTTCTGCTTTTCTTTTTCACTGGGCCCCGGATAAGTTGGGTGGGAGGGATGGTTAAATTTATCTTTTAGTTATAGGCTGCCAAATCCATGAAAGGCTGCGTTGGAATCTGATGGAGGAGGAAAACAAGACTGACTCAGGGCTTGGAACTAGATCTGGCAACTACACATCATCTTGGTTGTGTTAAGTTTTTGTTTATTTAGTCACTGTCTCGTGCTAGGCAGGGCGTTTATAGCATTGCCTCGCTGGAAGAAGCATGCCTTTGCCTGTCCAGCTTCCCTCCCAGAAGGCTCCTCTTCTCTGACCCCATGTGGCTCTGGAGGTCCCAGGGGTCAAGTTACCGCATGCATTTTCATCTCCATAACTAGAAGTAGCCCCTACAAGCTGTCAGAAGACCGCTGTTTCTCTCTAAACTCAGTGGCGTGGGTAGCGGTGGGCATGAGACTACGCGAAGCCCATCAGACTGATACGTGACCGCGTAGACGGTCTCCTTTACCCACAGAATGACGACATGAAAACAGCTCTATGACAGCATTAATCTTTTCTCAGAGCTTTTTCAATCATTACAGCACAGAGATTTTCCTCCAGCTGCATCAACTCATAGAAGCTGGCGATTCAGACCATCAGTCCCCCTTGACCCATCATCTGAGCTATTTGGACAGTGGTTTAATGTTTGAGCCTATAGTTCTGTTTATTTGGTTCGGGTTTTTTTTTTGAGGCAGAGTCTGTGTTGCCAGGCTGGTCTCAGACTTGCAATCCTCCTGCCTCAGCCGCCTGAGTGCTGGGACTATAAGCATGTGCCACTACACTCAACTAAGCCTATAGATTTTTTGTTGTTACTGATGATCTTCATTATTTTTGGTGGAGAATATGATCTATATAAATGCAAATTCTTTCCATTTTATTTAGACTTGTCTTATGTACTAGTCCTTGGCCAATTTTTATGAAACGTATCTTAGTTTCTTGAAAAGAATGTTTTCCTAAATTGATTGATGCAGTGTTCTATATAAGTCAAAAATTATTTATACCACTCAAATAACTGATAGTTGTATTGATTTTTTAAAATATTTATTTATTTGCCGCAGGGTCTCAGTGTGTAGTGCAGACTGGCCTTGAACTCCCTTATGTAGCCCGGGTTGGCCTCCAATTCACAGTGATCCTCATGTCTCAGCCTCCCCAGTGCTGGGATTATAGGCGTGCCCCACCATGCCCGGCTCCGTCATATTTTTTGTTGAAAAGTCAGCTATCAGTTTGTCATTCTTTGGTAATTTGTGTCTTTTTCTTTCTGTCAGTCCTTAATATGACTTTGTCTCTTGGTGATTCGCAATTTTATCATGAAGTGTCTAGAAACAAATTTCCTTTTATATAAACTTGTTGGGCTTTCTGGACCTGACAACATATATTTACATTAAGCACATGTAACAGGAAATTCAAAATAAGAACGGTCTGTAAAAGACAGGTGACTGTTTCTCCTTACACACAAGTACTCAGATGTCCGGCAATCCCATGCTCTGATGAGTCTTCCAACTCCTTTACCCTCTAGTCCAGTTGACTTATTGAGCTCCAGCCCTCACATCTGCATTTCAGTCTCTAAGATGGTACAAGGACAAAGAGTGCTTGTCCCTTTTCTCCAAGACCTTGCAGAAGTCTTACATATTTCTGCTCATACCTCAGTTCCCACAGCTTAGTCACACGGCCACAACTAGCTTCAAGCGGGAATTGGTAGAACTCTAGTAGATTGTATTGCCATTCTCCCAAATTCATGGTTCTGACATAGGAAGAGGAGGACAAAGGCTTTCAGGAGAGGCAATTGCTGCATAGTTTTCCTTTTCGCTCCATTTTACACTCCCTTCCCATCTATGGATCACACTTGACCTCCAAAAGAGAAAAATAAATCAAAATTCCCACCCAGTAACTATGTCTTAGTCAGGGTTCAGCATCTCTGAGTGACATAAGATTCTTCCCTGCAGCTTCAGATGTGGCTCTTCTTGTTTCAGTAACCTATAAATGAATAGATAATCCATCCAGTGCACAATGATTGAGAAGACTCGGTTAATATGATTACAGCTTTCATTCAGAAAACGGGGGGCAGGAATCATGCAGTGCTCCCTGGTCTGCAGCAGTCACCAAATCCAGTTGGGTCAGGCTAATGGTCAACCCAGCCCTAGTACCAGGGTAAGCTGCTGGTCAGCCCGTCTGGCAGCCTTGAGAAATCTCGTCTCAGAACATCTTGGTCTTTTGTCCTTTGTGGTCATGGTTCTGCCTTCTCTGAGATCACTCCTTTATTCCCCACAGCCATAACTGAGTGGGCACCGGAAGGTGTGCTCCTTAGAGCCACATGGTCTGCGCAGACTGCTTCGGGCTGCTACAGATTTAGGACCTAGAGTACTGGGGAGGTTGACCATCACAGACTGTGGCAGGCCAGTCCTGAGCCAGTTGTCACTGCTCTGCCCACCTACCTCCACTTGACTTTGTTCCAGGATATGACTTTCTTACACTTTTAATTGAAGTATGACTATAATGTGTTTACATAAAACGACACAAATCCAGCCAGGTGTGGTGGTGCATGGCTGTAATCCCAGCACCCAGAGGCTGACGCAGGAGGATTGCCATGAGTTTGAGGCCAGCACGGGGTACGGTACATAAGCAAGTTCAAGGCCAGCCTGCACTACATAGCAAGACTCTGTCTCAAAAAACAAAGAACAAAAAAACACAAATCCTGGAGAAAAATCTTGATAAAGTTTCACAAAATGATGACACCTTTGTGACACAGATTTATTCCTATACGTGATTCATTTTTCTGACTTGTAACAGTAAATATTAGTTTTGCCCGTTTTTAAATACTGTAAACAGAACAATCCATGTATTCTTTCCGTGTTTGGATTCTGTTGCCTGATGTTACACTCATAAGCATGACCCATACTGTGTGTGGCTGTGATGTGTTTATTCTTACTGTTGTATAGTATTCCTCCACGCGAACACACCAGAAGTGCCTTATCAGTTCCACTGTTTGGTGCATGTTTGGGGTGGTTACAAGTTTGGAGTTAGGAAAAGTAGCGCTGCTGTGAATATCCTTAGACTTCTCATTTGATTAATTGCAGTATTATCCCTGTTATCGATTGTTGCACAGCAAAGTACCTCAAACTCAGTGACATAAGAAACATTCTTTCTTTTTTTTGAGACAGGGTCTCACTCTGCAGTTCAGGGTGGCCTTGAGCTCACTTTGTAGCCCAGGCTGGTCTCGAACTTGCAATGATCCTCCTGCCTCAGCTTCCCAAGTGCTGGGATTACCGGCGTGTGCCAGCACACCCAGTAGACACATTCATTTTATGGTACTCGTGGATTCTGTGGGTGGGGGCATTGCAGGGCACAGAAGGTATACCTCATGTCTGCTTCCCCTCGTTTGAGCTTACAGATGGGAAAACTCAGATGGCTGGACAATCTGAATAATGAGGAACTGGAACGATATGGAGACTTCTTTACTCCCAAATCTTACGTCTGGCCTGGGATAACTCAAAGGATTGTGCCTGTCTTTGGATGACATTCCAGGATACCTGTCCACAGCCTGTGCATGCGGCTTAGGCTTTCCTTGCTAAGCCATGTAGTGAGGCTTTTACATGATCCAAAAGAAAGTACTCAGGCTAGAAAAATGAAAGCTGTCAGGCATTTTGTGACCATCTTTAATAGCCCCATACATCACCAATACCACATTCCACTGGTCGGAACAGTTATGAGCTCTCCACGATTCAAAGACATTGAGTATGGACCCCTCCTCTTGATGACAGATGTGTGGAAGACACTGTAGCCATGTTCGATATTTCTTCATTAAAGTTGTGCAATCATGCCACTTCACTTTTCTTCTTTTTTAAAAAAATTGATTTTTAAAAATTTTATTAGTACCTGTTTGCAGTACATAACTATTACATCCATTGCCAGGACTTGGTGCAGGTATACAGCACATCCTAATTCTTTTTACTTCCCCTACCTCTCCCCTCCCTCCACCTCTTGGTCCTCTCCCCATGTGCAAAAGATTGATCTCCCTGTGTCCTACTGCCTATCTTTTATCTTGCTCTTTAAATTATTTACACATTGAATTTCTCATGTAAGAGAAACTACGACATATTTATGATCTGGTTTATTTCATTTACCATTATAGTCTCAAGGTGCGTCCATTTTCCTACAAATGACTCAAATATCCTTTTCGTGGCAGACTAGTACTCCTTTGTGTGTAAACACCAAGTTTTCTTTATCTATTCATCTGCTAATAAACCTATACGCTCCTTTCAAGATTTAGCTATTATGAGCTGTGCTGCTATAAACATGGGTATGTGTGTATCACTGTAACATGATGTTCTTAACTCTTTTGGGAAGATACCTAGAAGAACAGCTGAATCAAATGGACTCTCTAGTTTTAATTTTTTTGAGGACTGTCCATACTAACATCAGTAGTAGTTGTACTAGTTTGTATTTCTACCAATAACATAGAGGGTTTCTCTTTTCCCTACACCTTTGCCAGCATTTGTTATTTTTTGATTTTTTGATGCTAGTCATTCTTTGTGGAGTAAGATGGAATCTAAGGGTTTTCATTTGTGTTTTTCTAATGTCCAGAGATGTGGGACATTTTAAAAATGTATTTATTGTCTATTTTCCTTCTTCTGAGAAAGTCTATTCATTTCAGTTGGGCATTTTTTGATTGAGTCCTTTATATTGAGTCTTTTTTTTTTAGTTCTTTATATATTCTAGATATTAGCTCTCTGTGTGAGGAGTAGCTGGAAAATTTTTTTCCCCATCCTGTAGGCTGTCTCTTCACTCTGTTGGCTGTTTCCTTTGCTGTGCAAAAGCTTTTTAATTTGATATAATCCCATTTGTTGAATTTTTTGTTTGTTTTTGTTTTTTGAGACGGTGTCTCACTGTGTAGTTCAGGCTAGCCTTGAAGTCACAATGTAGCCCAAGATGGCCTCCAACTCACGGTGATCCTCCTACCACAGCCTCCCAAGTGCTGGGATTACAGGCATGCCACAATTGTATTGTTTTTTAAATTTCTTTTTCAGTGGGTTTATTATTGGTATAGGGAAACACTATTGATTTTTATGTGTTATTTTGCATCCTGCTACCTTGCTGAATGTGTTTATTAGTGCTAGGAATCTTCTGATGTTACCTCCTGGGTCTTCTCTGCACATTATCACACCATCTGTGAAGAAGGATAGTTTGACTTCTTCCTTTGCTATCCATATCCCTTTTATTTCTTTCTCTTGCCTGGTTGCTCTAGCTAAAGTTTCAAGTATTACACTGAATAGGAGTTGTGATAATGGACTCCCTTGTCTTGGTCCTGATATTAGAGGAAAAGCTTTCAGTTTTTCTCTATATGATGTTGGCAGTCGGTTAGTTATAAATTACTTTTATTGAGTTGAGATAGGGCCTTTCTGTACCTACTTTCTTCAGGGTTGTTCATTTGTTTGTTTTTGGAGACTGGGTCTTTCTGTGTAGTCCAGGCTGGAACTAGTGGCACCCCTCTTGCCTCAGTCTCTCAAATGCTGGGATTACAGGTGTGTGCCACCATGCCTGGCAGTTCAGGGCTCTTATCATGAACACATGTTGTATTTTGTCAAAAGAGTTTTTTATGTATCTATTGAAAATACCATGTGATTTTTGTCCTTGCATCTGTTTATGTGATATATTGCATTTATTTTGTATACGTTGAACCATCCTTGCATCCCTGGGATGAAGGCTCCTTAGTCTTAGTGCATGATCTTTTCAATGAATTTTTTGTAATCTGTTTGCCAGTATCTTGTTGAAGATTTCTGCATCTATGTTTATTAAAGAAATTTGCCTGTAGATGTGTTTATTTGTACACTTTATTTGGTTTTGGAATCAAGGTGATGCTAGTTTCTAGGAATGAGTTTGGGATTACTCCTTCCATTTCAATGTCATGAAAGAGTTTGAGGAGAATTGACATTAGATCTTCCTTGAAGTTGTTTAGAATTCAGATGTGAATCCATTGGGTCCTGGACTTTTCTCAGTTGATGGGTTGCTTATTACTGCCTCAATTTCATAGCCTGTTTTTGGACTGTTCAGGGTTTTTATATCTTCTTATTGGCTCAGTTTTGTTAATTCCTATGTAATCAGGAATCTCTCTATGTCTCCTACATTCTCCAATTTATTGGAGTACAGGTTTTCCAAGTAGTTGTAATAATCTTCTGGGTTTTGCAGTGTCTATTGTGATTTTACTGTTGTTTCTCTTTTTTTGTTTGTTTGTTTTTGTTTTTGTTTTTCTTCCGGTACCGGGAATCAAACTTATGACCTTGCGCTTGCCAGGCAGGCGCTATGCCACTGAGCTGAATCCCCAGCCCCTTTCTTTCACTTCTAATTACACTGATAAGGGCTTTTTCCTTCCTTCTTTTGGTAAGTTTGACTAAAGGTTTGTCTATTTTGTATATTCTTCTGAAGAACCAACTTTTCCGTTCATTATTCTTTTATTGTTTAGTCTTAATTTCTACTCCCATTTTTATAATTTTCTTCCTTGTCTTAGCTTTAGATTTAGATTGTTCTTATTTTTCTAGGGCCTTGAGCTGTATCATTAAGTTATTTGCTTGGGCTCACTCTGTTTTTCTGAGGTGGGCATTCATAACTACAAACTTCCTTCCTAAGACTGTTTTCATTGTGTCTTACAGGTTCCAGTTTGCGGTAGCAGCATTGTTCAATTCTAGGAACTGTTTTATTTCTTCCTTAATTTTTCTGTGACCCACTGATTACTCAATAGTATTGTTTAATCTCCATGTGGTTGAATAATTTCTGTGGTTTGCTTTTACATTGATTTCTAGTTTCACTGCACTGTGATCTGTTAATATGCAGGGATAATTTTTATTCTGATGCATTTAAGCGTGCTTGATGGACTAGCTTATAGTCCATTTTGCAGAAAGGTCTGTGTGCCAGTGAGAAGAAGATGTATCCTGTTGTTGAATGGAATATTGTCAGTATCTAGTAAATGTATTAGTTTGATGGCTTGGTTCAACTCTGATTATTTCTTTGTTGATTTTTTTTTGTCTAATTGCTCTGTTTGTTATAATGGGATATTGAGATTCCTCCACTATAATTGTGTTGCTGTTTTTCTGATCTTTTATTTCCAGAAATGTTTGCTTTATGAATTTGGGTGCCCTGATATTTGGCACATGTGTATTTACAACTGTTATCTCTTCCTATTCAATTGCTGCTTTAACTAATATGTAGTGACCTTCTTTGCCTCTTCTAGTCAGTTTTGGGTTGAAGTTCACTTTTCCTGAAAATAGAATAGCTACTCCTTGCTGTCCACAAAGAATATTGTTTTAAACCCTTTGCTTTTTAGTATGTGAATTTATTTTTGGATTAAATGTGTTTCAGGTATGCAGTGTACCATTGGGTTTTGTTTTTTGGTCCAATCTGCCAATCTGTGTCCTTTGACTGGGGAGTTGAGACCATCCACATTGAGAAGTATTACTGAAAGGTACTGACTTATCCTTGACATTGTATTTTACTGTTGCTGATTCCTTTTTTCACCTCTGCTTAACTGCTAGCTCTGCCTTATATATTCATTCCGCTAGACTTTTTAGTATTGTTGGCTTCATCATTTCTGTCTAGGAAAACCTTGAGGATTTTTTGAAGGGCTGGTTTTGTGGTCATGGATTTGTTAAGGTGCACTTTATCATGAAAATACCTTATTTCTTCATCAATTTTGAAAGATAGTTTTGCAGGATATATTAGTCTGGGTTGGAAGTTGTTTTCTTTTAGGGCTTAAAATACTTCATCCTAAGCTCTCCTTTAATGTTTGTGTTGAGAAGTCTACTGTAATTCTAATGGGTTTACCTTTATAAGGGATTAATTGCTTTGCTCTAATAGCTTTTAGGATTCTGTTCTCGTGTTGGATTTCTGAGATTTTTGACTATGATGTGTCGTGGAGAGGTTCTTTTCTGACTGTGGCTCTCTGGGGTTCCATATGCCTTGTTTACCGATGTGTTATTTTCCCATACTTAGAAAGTTTTCTGCTATGATTTCTGTAAACAGGTTTTTAAATGCCATTTGTACCATCTTCAGATTTTTCACTGATTTCCGTTAATCCTAGTTTAATCTTCTTTGCATCGTCTAGCATTATCTCCTTTTTAAGGTATGTCTGAGAATATAATGACCTGCATCAGCCCTGGCTTCTACTTCTGACATTCCTTCCTCACATCGGTCATTTTTGCTGCCCCTACATTCAACAGAACTTTTTGTCTCCCAGATTTTTATTGGTACCTTTTTGTGGGCCGGGGATATAGCTCAGTGGCATAAGCGCCTGGCTGGTACCTTGTCATGGGCTCCGATTCTTTGCTAAACTGGTCATTTATGTTTTGTATCATTTTGTTCAGTTCAGCTAGCTTTTAATTAATGTCTGCTTTAAGCTCACTGATCATTTTGTTTATTAAGTCTACTGTCCGTTTTATCTGTGTCTTCTTTGTGCTCACCAAGCACTTTATCTATTTTTCTGTTTCTTCTTTTGTCACTGCTTATAATTCAGCCATTTTATTTTTTATTCCTTTCCCATCACTGCCCCACAGATCAGCTTGGAGGGAGTTGGGAGGTTTTGGAGGCATTTTGTTGCTTTGTTTTCTGCTTCTTCTCTTTTTCTTTCTCTCTGCTGAGGGCATCAGAGTTGGAAAGGTTTTGTTGCTAGTGTAGAACTCTCTTTGGCTACTGCCTGCTTCCTAGTGATGATCTGGCTCTGCATTTTGGTATTTACCTCTTTAGCCTACTCAAACAGCACCAGAACCGGACACTTCTGTTTGCGGAGACGGGTCCCTCCTCCCTTCCGGAGACGGGAGCAGGCATTTCAGGCTG